AACAGCATCCCGTGTCATTCCTCAATGTACCTGCCCATGTAAATGTGCCTTCTGTGTCTCCAAGGACAGACGGGCTCCTGGTGGCTGTGGCAGAGAGAGGGAGGTTCTCTTTGATGACAAACCAAATGGATTGTGCGTCCTGACCTTATGAATCACGCTTCCCAGTCCTCATGCACCAACCAGCTCCCCCAAGCCTGCATCCCTTAAAGGGTGCACTAATTAAAGCCATTTGTATCAAATGATTGGAATAATGTCCTCTCTCGAAAATAAAGAAAATCACTAAAAGAAGTTGGTTGTTTTTTTTTTTTTTAACAAGGAGGCTAACTCAATTTCATGAGCTGAGCTGAGAGCTACACTATTAACTTTATTTTCTCGGATATGGGAAGGCATCAGCCCGAAGAAGGCTGCCGTTCCTCAGAGCAGTCCACACACATGAACGCCAATCTGGGCTGGGCTCATGAGAGACCCTTGCCCACAAATGCCCAGGTCAGAAGACACCGGGTCAAGTCTGAAGAGAGTGTCGCCCCGACGTCTACCGGTTCACCTTTTATTTGAGTCCCTTGGAGCTGACTGAAACCTGACAGCGCCTGTGTGCACTAGTGGGCACCCTATTAGTACCTGCTCATTTAAACCATGTAAATGGCCGAGGGAAGGATGCATTTGTCGTGAAGCATGACTTAGAGAGTCTGGGGGTTTAGAAACAAATGTCTTTTTCTTTCAAATGATGCATTTGCTGGCAAGAGCTTGTGACTCAGTGCAGGGGACACAGAGATGCTGGACAGACACCGGATCGGGCTTTCTTCCTTCTGTGTGGAGGAATGTGTCTTCCCTTCCATGCGTGCACTGCAAGGCGGGTTTCTGTTAAGGGCGTATGAACCTGCAAGCTCAGCTCCGTGCCTGCTTGACTGAAGGACTCAGGAGCTTGTGGCGTGAAGGTGGCTTGATTTTCAGCATAACATACATGCCATGTATGTGCACATATATCAGGCACACACAGGCTGTGTGTATTCACAGACAGGGCCACGAGCACACATGCATATACACATGCACCACGTGCACACACTCAGATGTGACCCAATGCACACACGTGCACACACCACCGATTCACACACTTATGGTGGATGTATGCACACATGTTACAGGCATGTACACACATGCACAGATGCACAGCCGCATGGGCCTGCACACGCGCACACACCCTGCCACCAGCACAGGCAAATCGATGTCAGAACGACTCTGATTTCTAACTCTTGATTTGCAGCAGTATCTCAACATGAGCACTGATGCTTTGGGGGTGTGACTAGACTTTCCCAAAGCATTTGAAGAACTGTCAAAATTCCCCCAAAATGTTGATGGCAGCATAATTGCTACCATGAGGTTCCTTGGAGGAGATGAGCTCCTCTCTGGCAGAGGAGAAGCCTGCATTTTACTAAGAAGGTAATTGGACCCCGAGGGGCTGAACCTGCAGGTGGGGATGCTTCCCAGAGCCCCCTCCCTGCTCAGACCTTGGGCAAAGGCCACTGGCTGGGTCTGGCCAGGTGGGTTCTGTTCCACTCTGTCTGTGCCATGTGGACCCTGAGTGAGCTGACCGAAGGGGGCTTTTGCTGGCATTAATTAGAGGCCCCTGGATGAATGCCTGGGTGGGCAGAGCTGCATCTCTCTGTCCGTCATCAGAACCCTTCTTCTAGCTTGTCCCTCCAGCTCTGCTGGTGCAGCAAAGACTCGCCCTTGGGCCCAAGCCCCCACCGTTAAGGGACTGGACTGGGACTGGGTGTCAGGTCTGTCCAGTTCCAAACCCGACTTCTGCTCAGGCCAGATGCCCTTTCTTATCTGACTTCTGACCCACCTGCTCCGCCCCTGAGCCCTGAACTCGGGCCTGTCCTTCTTGGCTCCCAGGCCATGTGCCCCCTGTGAGGAGGCAGGCCTTGGCCCCACAGATAGCCTCAGCCTGAGTCTCTGGGGATGGTAGAAGCCAGAGGTCCAGAAGCGGCGCTCGACACACGTCCCATGGGGAAGCCTTGCTAGGGCTGTTCTGCACTCAGGGAGCACATCGACGAGAGTCACAAGCCTCCCCTTCACCACGCCTGTTTTAACTGCCAGGCCTCCTTTTTATTTCAAAAAAGCTTTGATTTGATAAATTTATGGTGCCAGTTAGAATATGCACATATTTAGCTGTGGGTTTCTCTTTTCCATGTAACTGGACGTTTTTGAAATTGTACATTGGAGACGTTTCAGACTTTGAAGTTAAGGCAATGGAACTTCCCGGTTCTGTATCCACCTGGGGATGCTGCCTCTCTGCACTGGTCACCACAGTCGGTGACACACTGGCCTCCTGGCAGTCCCACCCACAGGGTGCTCGTTGGGCAAAGTGGACCTGCCGCAGGCCGCTTCCAGGGACCCAGATGCCGCCTCTTTCTCCTGTGAGTGGAGCAGCTGGTGGGTTCAAACCAAGTGCTTAACCCGTGCACCACCAGGGCTTGTCACCTGCCTCTTGGTGAGCTGTAGGTAGTGACATTAAAGAAAGAATTTACTTTGGAATTAACATTTTTTGGGTGCACACCACCCCCTCTCCGCCTCCTCTGTCCACACAATTCAAACTCGCTGCCTTCGAGTTGGACCAGCTCTGAGCCCACCCTGCTGGTCACACGGGTGGGGGTGGGGGGAATCGTCCTTCTTTCTCCAGAGGAGCCACCCTTAGACAATGGCCCCTGGCCCCTCCAGTGCAGAGACCCATGTGGACAGGCCTGGGGTCGGGGCTCAGCAAGCCAGCCGTGTCCCTGCCAGCACAAGAAAGGGGCATGCTGGGAGCAGAGCTGGCCCTCAGGGATGTCACAGGGAAGGAGCTGCTGGCCCCCTCGGGGATCAGAGCCCCCACTTATCTGAGGGGCATCAGGAAGGCACAAAATGGTTAGGATGTGGCATGGCCACCACCACAGCCCTGAGGGAGGGTGTCTTTCCTCAAATAACCGATTTGTGGCTCTGTGTCTGTAGGTGCTGCTCTCCTGTGCCCCCATCTCCATGTCCACTGACGGGTCCCAGTTGGTCATGGTGACTGCATGTCCAGCCATCGCTGACGGCCCATGCACTCACTGGCCTTGACTTCACCAAACACGTGTCCTCCAGTCACTGACCACTCCTGGGGACATGTCCCGGGTGCATGTCCACTGATGCTCTGCTGTGACCTGTGGGTCCTCAGTGGCTAGCTTGGGGGTGGGGGTGATCTCCAGATCTGTTTCTCTGGTCCTGAAGCAAGAGAAAGACCTGTCCTGATGGATGGACCCCTGGGGTTTGAAATGGGGGTGACATAGAGCCCAGGCTCGCAGCATCGCCAAGCCACATGGCACATCACGTGACTGATGAGTGTGGCAGGGAAGCATTGACAGTTTGCCAGTCACTTTTTCGATGTTCATCAGCTTGCTTTCCGTTCTCTCTGGCCCACGTTGCTGGAGTCTAGTGCAGGGAAGCTGTGCCTTTGCAGACTATGTGTTTGTCTTCTGTGGCAGCCTGAACGGCTCACTGCCATGTAGTCTCAGTCCTTGTGCATGTGGAGTGCACACGTGGCATGTATGTGCATGCTGCACGCTGCCCCTACACAGAAGGGCGAGCCCCTGAGTCCCAGAGCCAGGGTCGTGACGGCAGCCAGCACTGTGGGACTGGCGTGGCCAGGTGTGCTCCCTGACCTTCAGAGGCTGTCTGCAGGGTGTGGAATTCCCCTTCAGCAGCTGCAGCGCTGCGCTGTGTCACGGGGGAGCCCAGGCCTGGAGAAGGATTCAGGCTTTCTGGAAAGCTTGGAGCTGCTCTGTGGTCCCCACACCTGGGCGAGGAGATGCTGTGCCTGAGGGTCTGCAGCTTGCTCGCCTCCTCTGCCTCCCCCTCAGTTCTGCCCCCTCCCCACCCCTCTCCACCTCTCTGTGCCTTCTTCTGACCCACGTTGAGAATCCTTCCCTGCTCTGATCTTGGCGTATGGACGCTGGTGGCAGTGTCTGTGCTTAAGGACACTGTGGGCCCAGTGTGTCTCTTTCACCATTGTTATCTGCTTGGGGAGAGCTGTTTGACCAGAGCTGCTGACACTGTGGGGACTTGCCTGTAGTTCATATGTCCACTCATTGAACATATTATTTGCATTTTAATTTGGTCACTCAAGGGTTAGCGTGCCTACCTCAGGATGCCTGTCAGGGCGCTGGGTTAAGTGCTGGGCTGGGAACCTGAGGGCTGGCCATTTGAACCCAGAAGCTGCACTGTGGAGCTGCCCAAGCGCACAGAGCTCTGGTTACAGTCTGATGACGAGGACCAGGCTCCCCATGTCTCCCTTGTGTGGTGCGATACAACGTCCACCTTTTCCCAAGTGTGTACGTGCATGTGAGTGTGTGTATATGTGTTGATGTATCTGTAGCTATGTCTGCATATAAATCCGTTTGTGTGTGCAGATAGGTGTATGCATGTGTTTGTTCATGTTTGCGTGCGTGTGTCTTGTGTGTATGTGCTGTACATGTGTGTATAGGTATGCCATGTGTGACTGTATGCCCATGTGTCTTGGTGTGTGCACACCTGTGTGTAAGAAGGTGCATGCATGTGTGTGTTTGTGTTGACACATGTGCACGTCTGTGGACGTATGAAGTGATGATCTTTGCTTTCACATCGCCCAGCCCAGAGCTGCCCAGCAGTCTCAACCACTTGAGCCCTGACCCCAAACTGGCCAGTCCTTTCTGTCTGCTTGTTTGGAGTGTGATTGGAAGTTTGAGGTTTGGTTTTAATGCTACAAGATCGTGTGTAAGCATCCACAGCTTGTTATATGCTATCTGGTGATGAAAGAACGACCCTGTCCCGGAGGCCAGGAGATCTGTCCTTGAAGTGTCACTGACCACAGCTGAGATGGGCTTATTTGGCAAAGCTGGTTCACTGAGCTGTGTTCTCAAGGTTGCCTGTTGTCGCTGATTGTGGAGGTGGCTCTGTTTACTATGACAAATGCGATTCTAATAACAGTTGTTTTGGCCAAACAGATAAAAGCAGAGAGGGTAGCCGAGCACCTCGGCCCCCCGCCCTGATGCTGCCGACGGAGAGGAAGAGTGGGGCACGACCTGAGGAGGATCAGGTGTGTATCAGACCCTGTGCGTTCTTTAGATCCCAGGTCATTCAGGCTTGGTGTCCACCGAGGGCTGTAAAGAAGTACCATCGAGTCCCTTGAGGTCCAGGACACCCCACGTGTGTCAGCATACAGTTGTGCACACCAAGTTTCCTGACTGGCTTTTGAGGAGCAGATTGTCAGGACTTCCTCTGAGGCACCTGGGCAGACTCGAGCCCAAGCTTCTCCATTGGTGACTCCACATGTTAGTGACACCACTGGTGAGCTCAGCACACGGCAGGATCAGCCTCCCGTGACACTCCTGTGAGAAAAAAGCATGCTCAGCACCATGGGCAGGTCCAGGGAGAGGGGTGCCCAGGGCAGGGCCTCCTCCAGGGAGAGGGGTGCCCAGGGCAGGGCCTCCTCCAGGGAGAGGGGTGCCCAGGGCAGGGCCTCCTCCAGGGAGAGGGGTGCCCAGGGCAGAGCTTCCTCCAGGGAGAGGGGCACTCAAGGCAGGGCCTCTTTGGTGGGCCCTCCATTGGCAGGAGGCTAGCACATGCATGTGTCCACCTTCCAGTCCCTGTCTTCCCTCTGTTTCAGTGGCCAGGGCTGGGTAGTCTCAGGGCCCTTTGTACAGACAGGCAGCAGGACAAGGGCACAGCTCATGGCTCCACTTATGTTGGGGAAAACCCAGTGCGCACTTGATTTTCTAAATACATTCCAATTTCTGATCAGCACGTTTGCCAAATGCAGTTTTAAAGATTGATGAGGGCAATGCTATTGACTGATTGAGGGGCTCGCCCAGCGCAGCCTCGCACTAACTGGAGTAGCTTCTATGGCTGCATGGAGAGGCTGCAGCGTGGTCTTCCTCGGCTCTAACCTGTCCCTTCTCCCAGAGTTGTAGATGTTTAAGGTCTCCTCTCCTCCCAGGTGTTTCTCTGCCTCAGGGTGCGTTGTCACAAGGACCCTCACTTAGTCTTGATTTAGCATCATGCTGGCCTGAGACGATGCTAAGCTGTAGGTGACCACAGTGACGGTGCAGGTGAAGCCCTGCTCCTGTGTATGTCCATCCTGTCTGAATCTCTGATTAATTAAGTGGGTAGCCACGCTCGTGGCTCAGATAAACGCTCACATTATCACTGAGTGTAACTCAGCTCCTTCCTGCTGCTGCTCCGAGCGGGCGTTTTACACCTTGATTAGCCACTTTATTGCCAACAGGAAGTCAGAGCCAGCGGGGCCTCATGGACTTCGTAATTAGCAGGTGTGCACAGCATCACTGAATTGAAGTGCTGGTCCCTCACAAATTCTGCCTACCGTAATTCCTGGAGTAATTAGCAGGCTAATCTGTGGCTGGGAGACTCCCTGGCTTTCCATTGTTCACTTAACTGCATAATGAAAATCCCCTCGTTCTTCTAATTGGATTAGTCATATAAACTCTGGTCTTAATATTGCTTTAGACAACTGCTTCTATAAACTCTCTGTAAGACTAATTATTATCCAAATCATATGTTCTTATAGAATAATAAAGACATTTTCTGTTAATGACAAAGTGTAGAGAAATTATAAACACGGAGTGACTTACAGCCACACGGCTGAGTCGGAGGGGCAGTGGAGAGAGGGGTGGGTTTGGTTTGATTTTTGATAACTGCAATTTCAACTAAAACGGAAAGGCTGGGCATTCAGACTCCCCCAGGGGGCCCTGGGAGAAAGCCCCGGTGAAAACTCTGGGGGCGCAGCTCTGACGTGTGGGCATCACAACCGGGTCCCGAAGTAGCTGCTGCTCACATTTGGGGGTTCCGATTGGCAGACCAGTCTGTGGAGAGCAGCTGGCCTTCATGGGGTCCCTAGAAATAAAGACAGGGATCATACCAGCTAATTGCGCCCATTCCTGTTTCAGGAACCTCCGTCCATCCTGGTGCGCAGAGAGGAGAGCCTCACCGTGGGCAGCAGACCTGTGGCATCCGCCCCAGTGCCCGGATCCCCCTGGTAAGACCCCAGACCTGAGCTGCAGGGAGAACACAGGCTCTCCGCCCCCAGAGGGAAGAGCCCGCTCCTGACGGAGCACTGGCGGGAGTGCGGGCGCGTCCTGCAGACCGGATGGTGCTGTGATTAGCGATCTGCTCTGCTTCTGTTGGTGGGACGCTTGCTGGAGCCGCAGAGCTCTGGCTGTGGATCACGGAAGCCCGCGTTGAGCAGCTTCAAAGGCCTCAGCCTGCTCCTGAGAGACAGAGGACGGAATGTTAATTATGGCTCAGAGCTTCCCCATCCTGGGAGGATCCCCATCTTTGAGCGAGCTGCATTCAAACACCTTCCACTAGGGAGCCACAGGACTGTGTTTTCAAAGATGTCCTTTCATTATGGAGTCATTTGGAAGCAGAGTAGAAAGGTTGTTATAGTAAAAATCAGCTTTAAAACCTCAAGATTAGAGTGAGGTGTACCGCGGGAAGGTGGAGATAATTCATTGAACAGAAACAGCAAATGTGGGGACAGTTTAATGGACCATGTGGGCCCGTCAGTGAGGAGGGTGCAGCCAGGCCCGAATCACTCTTCTCTCTGCACAAGGGCTTCCCCCAGGCCGTGAGGAGGGGGCCCGGGGACCCATGGCTATGTCCTGGCAGAGACCTTGCTAACCCGCCGTGCTCGTGCCTGGAGTGAGACCCAGCATCTCAGGAACAGGATTGTAGCCTCTGTCCTGAGTGAAACCACTCTTATCTGAGAGGTTGGCCTCCCTACCCTGGGCACAAACCCTCTTGCTGTCCAGCATGTGGCGTTCTCAGTTCAGATCCTCTGCTATAAACTCTATGCTCTCTAGGTCCCGGCAAGGTGACTGTCCCTGTGAAGAATGCTGACCCCCAGGGTTTCATCCCATTGGTCAGGAGAGTGGGTGGGACAGGAGACTTCCTAGTCCAGGACTGGCCTCCTGCTGGGGTTCTGAGGGGCTGAGTGACGCTGGGAGCAGGGTGCATCTGTGAGGGAGGGTGGGTGGAATGGGGGCAGAGCTTGGACAGGGACAGTGTTGTGGTCAGTCAGCTGTGTGGGTCAGCTCGAGGACACTGGAGAAGCAGGTGCATGTGGAGGAGTGAGAGCCCCCTGCCAGTGGAAGGGCTGTAGTGGTCCTGTGACCCTGGAGAAAGGCTCAGTGGCTCCAGAAGCCCAGGGAACATGCATTTGGGGGTACACTCAGCTCCTCACCTGGACCCTTGTGCTTCTTCATGTGGTGATGGGGAGTTGGAGGTGCTCCCCTCACTTTGAGGGCTAATGCTTGTCTGACCTCAGCCTTCAGGAAGCCTCTTGGGTGAGGATAGAATGCTGAAAGGTCCCTGTACCCACATCCCCTTGGCATCAGGCCCTGGACACTGAACAGTGAGGCCAGCTGTCCAGCCGTGGCTCCCCTGTTGCCGTGTCCTCATCAGGTAACATTGGCACAATGTCCACATTAATCACACGTGTGGAACAGGGCTCCCCTGACATGGTGGTCTCTGTCAGGAAGGGACCCCACCCAGGAGCCTGGCTCTTCTGCTCATGGTCCTCAGTT